TGGCGGCAGAAGACAGCAAAAGCAACAAGAGTGAAAAGGGAGGAGCAGCAAGAACAAGCCTCTTTCTCTCCCTTATACTGTATGCAGGCTCCCCGCCCCAGGGCAGGTGTAGCACTCACACTCATAGTCCCAGCATTGGACCATGAATCTCCCCAAGACTGCATGAGGCTTTTGGGGGGACATCTAGACACAAACCATGACATTCCACCCCTGGCCCCCCAAAGACTCATGCACATACCTTTATGCAAAAGGCATTTTAGTCCATCTCTAAGGGTTGCCAAAGTCCTAACAGTTTCAGCATTGCTGAAAAGTCCAAGTCCCAAGCCTCTAATATATAAGGCAAACTCTTAGCTGTGAGGCCCTGTACAAATGAGGATCAAAACCCTCTCAGAGAATTTGTGATTCTCTCAGGGCTAAGAATAGACCTTCTCTGGGTGGCCTGTATTTAGTTATCAGAAGAAGGGAGGGGAGTACTCAAGAAGGGTGGAACCACTCAAGGATTTCTCCAATTAAGGTATTCAATTAATCCTCCCAGAAATGAGATGTCTGAGGCTAGTCTTTACTTTGTTGCGGTTAGATCCAGGTGTCTTTGGCTGTGATCTCATCCTTTGAGGCTCTCCAGCTTCATCCACCATTACAGGCCTCAGTAGGGATCAGTGACTCACAGAGGTCCACTTACTATGAACCCACCACCCATCCTCAGACAAGGAGCCTAGGCCTTGGACAGACTCACAAGTAAACATAATTTAAGTCCTGATCAGGGCTGCTTCACAGTGGTCTCCATCAGGAGTCCTTTCTCACATCAACCATGTGATTCTTCATGGGCTGAGTAGGCTTCCAGATGCATTGCTAACTTCTTATGCAACCCTCTTGGAAAGGTGGGCTAAATCTACACTCGAAATTCTCCAGCATCCCTTAAGTTCTATGATTTCACTAAAATTCAAGGGCTCAGGCTGCTCCATATATAAAATTACATTATTTTTTCCTCTTCATAAGTAAATAAGACTTAAAACACATACTAAAAAATAATTAAGTATCCATTAAAAAAGCTTTTGATTCAAATTGATGGATTTCATCCATAAGTTAAGTAAGCAGTGCTTGGGGTGTAGCTTAGTGAAAAAAAGGAAAAATGATTTTTATAAAAGGCAAAAAATTTTTACAAGTAAATGTTTGTTGGATTTCCATTTATAATCAGTTAATGCTAACTACAAATCAAGTTATATGTTAATTTAAAAGTTTTATACCATATCCTTGAATAAGTAAGACTTTTGGAATGTACTACCAAGAAACAAAATTTTGTTTCTTTTGGTTTTTTAATACAGGGTCTGTCTATGTAGCCCAGGCTGGCTTTTTTTTTTTTTGCAGTACCAGGAATTGAACTCAGGAACTTGCCAGGTAGGCGCTTATGCCACTGAGCTGCATCCTCAGCCCCTACACTGGCTTCGAACTCAGTGATCTTCCTGCCTCATCCTCCCAAGTGCTGAGATTACAAGCACAGGACACCACGCCCAGATGGAAAAAAGTACTTCTAAATATCTATTTGTAAAGCTTGGAAAGCTATTTCTTTCTTTTTTCTTCTTTTCTATTTGGTACTGGGGATTAAACCCAGGGCCTTTGCACTCAAATACACCCCCAACCCTTTTCATTTATTTTGAGACAGGGTCTCACTAAGCCATAGAGTTGCCCAAGCTGGGCTCAAATTTGCAATCCTCCTGCTTCAGCCTCCCAGAGTTCTGAGATTACAGGCCTGTAGCACTACACTCAGCTTAACTTAGTTTATATTTACTGTTACTGCATTTTCACTGAGAAATAAGCAAAAATAATACTGTCCACCAACACCTGGGCTACCTAGTAAGATCCTGTCTTGGGAAAAAAAATACCTCAAAACTAATTTGGATACAAATCCTACTCTGTATAACAGGATAATAATTGTGTGCCAAACTTTGCAAGAATCTAAAGTACTAACCTTTAAATATTTACATGAAAAGTTAACAAAATTTTTTTTTTGTTGAGACAGGATCTTGCTATGTAGTTTAGGCTGTCCTTGAACTCTCTTTGTAGCCAGGGCTGCCTCAGGCTCCTCGGAGCTCTGGGATTATAGGTGTGCCATCATACTTGGCTCGAGCCAAACTTTTAGTCGTTTTTAAAAAACTAAAAGGTTGACTATTAGGTAATTTAAAACTTTTTTGAGATCATTAATCTGGGAATCAGATGAATGTAACATTTTTCCCCAGAAAAAATGCACATACTGAAGTCTGTCCAGGGCCTCAGCAACCATGTAATTCAGTGAACATTCACTGACTGTCCGCTATGTCCCAGAGGGCCAGAAGGAAGGAGAGCCGGGGAGATGGGGGCGGGGGGATGGAGACTAGAGAAAGACAAAAGATCATATACTTTTGGTATATATAAGGGGTCTGGAGCAGTTCCTCACTAGTGGATTGACTGCATTTTTATTAGTCAGTGAGAACCTCGGGTTGGGGGGGGTGTGAGTAATGCGCCTGTCATGGAATATACTTTCCCTAGGAACAAAAGGGGATCAAGGTTAGCATTTGAGAACTTTTTGTTTGTTTGTTTATTTGTTTTTTTCCAGTTCCGGAATCAAACTCACGACCTCATGCTTGCCAGGCAGGCGCTTTGCCACTGGGCTGAATTCCCAGCCCCAAGGTTAGCACTGAAAGGGAACAAGATGAAGACCTTCCCCCGGATGCCCGCATTCTGCACATATTATCTTGTCTCAAGAGGCTGGGAACGCGAGCTTTCCTAATGCAGCCAGAGAACACGCAGCTATCTGCAAACTCTCCAGTCCCTTGAGGCAAGTCACAACGGGCCTCCACAGCCATGTAGCCTGGTCCCTAACGCAGTATTATTTCATACCCCCTGGGCCCCCACAGATAGCCTCAAGTTCAAGGCCAGCCTGAACTACACAGTAAGACCCTGTCTCAACAAAACAAAACAAAGCAACCCCCCAAAAAAACCCAAAACCACTAAAAACGAAACAAAAAGAAAAAAAATCAAACCAAAATTAAATTAAATTAAAAAAAACTAGTCTGATTTGAACACAATGCTTCAGAGGGAGTCTGTGAGGTCAGAAAGCTTAAATGTGCTCTAGAACTCTCTAGCAGATCATTTACAGAAGGCACACAAAACAAAGCAAAAGCCCTTCAATCTTGAATTTGGCTTTTATTTTAAAATACATTTAGCAAAGAACTGTCACAGGACAGGAAGTAACAAAACACAAAGACGGTATTTTCAAATACTCTGTAAGCTACACATAAAAATCAATAGGCTACCACAGACCCAAATTCTGGGAAACAATCCTTAAAATTCAATTCATAAACTACACACTTTGAATGAAAAGCTTTTCTCACATTTCCCAGTGTACCGGTAGGTTTCTAGGTGCCCTGGCTTCTTTTCAACTACTAGGTAAACAGCCCAAATTCAGTCGCTTTGCTTAAAATTATCAGATTCAGTTTTGGTAAAAAAACATTACCATGTCCTTCAATTCTCAATTAGAATTATAAAAATATGAGCTCAAATAGTTACGCTGTCCAAAATAGAAACATCTTAAGTGATACTTCTAGATAACCATATATAGATATTGCACTAAAATCAGTAATCCCCTACCTGACGTTCATTTGTATGGAAAGTTAAATTTCTTCTCTTTTTTGGAGACAGGGTCTCGCTGTGTAATTCAGTAATCCAGGCTGGCCTTGAATTAACTATACAGACCAGGCTGGCCTCGAACTCACGGCAATCCTCCTAGCTCAGACTCCTGAGTGCCGGGATGACAGGTGTGCACCACCACAGTGGGTGATTTTCTTTTTTATGGAAGTGTTCCTACAAATACATTTAATGTTAAACCAATGACAATCAGACTCCAAAATATAAAGGCACACATAGAGAAAAAATAGTTTAATACTACACACATTATACTCAAATTTTCCACTGTGAAAATAATGAAGTTGGAAAAAATAGGCTCTCAACTACTAATACTTACTACTTTTAGTTTTTTTACGGTTATCTTTTATAGCCAATAAGTAGGTACTAAAAGTTAATTGTGGGAAATCCAATCCTTTTCAAATAATTTAGAAGAATGGTTTGTTACGTGTGAAGCATGTGCGCTGTCCTCCTGTAAACTTCAACTATGTTTCCATGCACTGGAAAGAGCTAACAATAGTATAAACAATCAAGACAATGTACAAAAAATGCATCTTGTTCCTACAACTTTTTTTTTTTGGTACCGGGAATCAACTCAGGACCTTGTGCTTGCTAGGCAGGCGCTTGTGCCGCTGAGCTATAGCCCCAGCCTCCTATAACTTGCAATACACAGAAAAATACCTACGACAATGGAAATATGTCTATATCTAGCTTCCAATAAATCCGTGAGAAATTTTAGCCCATTTCAATTTCTTTCTAAAGAAAGATTAAAGAGTTATGTACTGGGGGTTTACTTCGACCCCTCAGTGAGTGTGACATCGATGTTTAAAATATTTGCCTAGTTATATGCAACTTAAACTCTTACTTTTGTATCACAGTACACATGGCATTTCTTAACTCAGCAACAGAAAGGCACAATTAGCAAGCAGTAAAATTCAGTACCTGATTTATTAAACAGATGCCCAAAACAGTTGCAAAAAAAGTACATTCAACACAGTGTACAGAACTTAAAAAAATAAGGAATTCAAAAACAAATTTTTCGGAAAGTTTGGTCCATTAAAAATGCTCCCCAGGGTCAACACCGCGGGTGACGTGAAAGGTGGCGGCAGTGTGAAAAGAGGCAGGAAACCAGGGTGTTGCAGCACGTGAGTTCTGGTCTAGTAATTACGCAGCTCAGTCGGGAAACGGCTCCCACAGTAAGTACACGTTAGACGCTATCGTTAGTAACAACATACCTGTGTTAATTCCAAATGCACAGGCACAACTGTTTGCATATTATTCTTCATTTTATAATACGCACCCCACTGTGTAAAAAAACTTAGGTATATTATTTTTATATATAGAATATATTAGACATATGATTGCATATTATATACCTATATATATATATATATACACACATATATATATATATACTGAATCCATAAAAGCACAAAACTCTCCAAACATATGAACATTCTAAATAGAAACTTAGCATTTTCTCAGTGTTAAATAGATCAGCTCACCAAAAACAATACCTGGATGTGCAATGATAAAATGCACTGACTCTTAAGAATTTACTTAAACAATTATTTAAGATAAATTCTTGCCAAAGCCTAACTCTGACCTTTTACTTACAGTATATTTTTAGATATCAGTAACTGGTACTTGTCCTTTCTTATTATCAACAATATTTTCCCATCAAGAGATACCAATAAACCAAAATATGTAGGGAACAAAAAACGTGATAGAGAAGCCAACCATTCCGTAGGTAATGTACCGGTAAGGGAGCTCCACTTCCATGTGCTGTCTTGCTTTGCGAATATCATCACACGGTATTTTAAAGATTTTACAGGCTAACGGGATGGTGATCCTTTTCATCATATTTCTAACTAAGAGTACAACTCCCATCCCCAAGAGGACCCGCAATATGGCTTTTGCAAAGACAGTCAGAGTAACGGGAGGCACGGGCAAAGGTAAAATGTCTGGAGAAGGATCCACCGTTAGACCCATGCTGTGAGTCACGTGAGAGCCACATGCGATCCCCGCGCCGCTTCCCAGAATCTCCGCGGTGTCTCCTCGGGATGTGCTCCAGGTGTCAAGAGTGAAGGAAAAGATCCCCAAGGCCAAGTGGAGCCCGATGATGATGAGGGGAGCATAGCTGTGAGTCTGGTTGAAGTCGTCAATCAGGTCCACAAACGGATAGAAGACCGCCAAGATTAAGATGGTGTATAGGAATCCGGCGATAACGTCCTGGGAAAAAAAGAAAAAGCGCAGTTGTTTAATAGGATATCACTTTGAAAGTGGTGCATTTAGCATTTTAAATATTGAATAGATACAGATTTTTTAAATAGATTCAAATTTTATAGCCCAGATTTCCTCCAGATTTTATGGGTACATTTTAGATATACAGTGACCACATTCATCACAGAGAATTTGCACTTGTACCTGATATAACTTGATTCTTTTTTCCCATTCTTCTACCCTCCCCACAACCCCCTCCACTCCCCATCTGCAAAAGCTTTGTTTCTGTGTTTTCCTTCTTTGCTCATCATTTTTTTCTTTTCCTTGTTTCCTTTCCCTCCCCCTTGGGCCCCTCCCCCTTTGAAAATTTTCTTCCTGTTTCACACTATTATACACTTGGTCCTTGTTTACACTTTTAATTTCTCACACCAGAGAAATACTGCAGTATTTACACATGTGAGTTTGATTTATTTCACTTAACTCGAGGTACATCCATTTACGTAAGGAATGTCTCAAGCTTATCCTCAGAGGATTACTCCACTGTATAAAAACCACATCTTTATCCATTCACCAGCTGATGGGCATTTGGGTTGTTTCCAAGATTTGATATAGTCAAATTTTTTAAAGTAAACTTTACAAACCATACAAGAGGGATTAAAACTTTTGTGTGTGTGTCTTTTTGAGACAGGGTCTCACTATGCAGTTCAGGCTGGCCTTGAGCTCACTTTGTAGCCCAGGCTGGTCGTGAACTTGTGACGATCCTCCTGCCTCAGCCTGCCAAGTGCTGTGACTACAGGTGTGTGCCGCCACAAGCAGCGTTTTTGTTTTTTTTTTTGACACAGGGTCTCGCTTTGTAGCTCAGGCTGGCCTTGTGTGCACTACATGTCCAGGCTGGCCTCGAACTCGCGGCAATCCTCCTGTCTCAGCTTCCTGAGTGCTGGGATTACAGGTGTGCACCATGGTGATCAGTAGGCCACTGACTTAAAAAAATGTCAGCAATCTGAATTGTCCATGCTGGAGGGTGGGTAAATAAATGGCATATGACCCAGCAAAATACTGCATAGCAGGCAATGACGTGCTACATCTATAAATTACCACCAGGGACATATGAAAAACAATGCTGACTAAAGAAAAACAATCTGTTGGATATATAACTGATGTTCATTTTAAACCATGAAATGCTATATATTGCTTATGAATATATAATATGTACATAAAATACAATCTACACTCCTTGAGAATTATCTGTATTTTCTGTCTCTACTTTGTCAACACTAATTCCTTCTGTTTTCCTTTATTAAAAAATTACACAAAGGTAAAGAGAATACTAGCTGGAATGAACCCTAAGCATTTTCTCATATTTACTTTAAGTCTTGTCTGCAGTTACATACGGAACAGTCACCCTGGTGCACAGACCCCCAGCGCCTCTTCCTCCCAACACCCCAAAACCCGCGGCACCACTCGTATTTGCGCAGCCTCCACCGTACTGTCCTTCCCCGAGTATCACAGAGCTGGGGTCAGACAGTACGTAGCCGGTGCAGTCGGGCTTCTTTCACTTAGCAAAATACGTATTTTTACATTAGAACCACGCATGTCAGTGTCCAGCACGAGGAGGGCGCCCTCGCGCACACTTCAGTGCTCGACAGCGCACCAGCACTGGCCCATCCGCGACAATGCACCAGCACTGGCCCATCCGCCACCACGAATGACGCCAATGTCAGCCGTGAGGAGCAGTGGGCCGAGGGGAGAAGCAGGCAGCACGTGGGAATTTTGTAGTTTCCCTCCATGCAAACATAAAAAAGTCAACTGAAAATGTAACGGTGGGGCCTTACGAAAATTAAGTCGAAACAGATCAAGAAAATTCAGAAGAATCAGAATTGTCCCGTGCACATGATCGGATCACAATGAAATGAAGCTAGAAATCAATGGCAGAAGAAGCCAGGAATGATGCAGACACGCAGAAGTGAAACAATACACCGAGTAATCAGGGAGCTGGAGAATAAACCAGGAAAGGATTAGAGCTCCTCGAAGTACACAGCAGTGCCAGAGCCCACGGGCACAAAGAAAGCAGCGCCGAGAGGGAGCTCACGGGGGCGAATGCCCACATCAGGGCAGAGTGAGGCCAAATACATAACCTACTGATTCAGCTCAAGGTCCTAGAAAACCAAGAACCAGCCAAATCCAGAGCTGGTACAAGGAAGGAAATAATGAAGATCAGCGCAGAAACCAATGAGATTGAGACTTTAAAAACAAAATCAACGGATCAAAGACCTGGTTCTGTAAAACAGCAATAAGAGCAAAAATGAACTCTTATCCAATCTTACCAAAAAAGGAAAGAAAAGACCCAAATCAATGCAGTTAGAAATGCCAAAGGCAAATCACAAAGGACATCACTGAAATCCAGATCATTAGTAACAACTTTGAAAATTTGCACTCCTGCCTTGTTATTTTATTTTTTTGTCTTTTTGAGACAGGGTCTCACTATGCAGTTCAGGCTGGCCTTGATCTCACTTTGTAGCCCAGGCTGGCCTCGAACTCATAGCAATTCTCCTGCCTCAGCCGCCCAAGTGCTGGGATTATAGGAGTGAGCCACCATGCCTGGTTTGTTTTTTCTTTTCTCTGTCTCTATTTCCCTCTTCCACTCCCCTTTTTGCAATACTAGGCACACTTTTCTTTCTGGCAGAAATAGATATTTATAATTCAAAGAAATGAAGCTTACTTGCTGTTACAGATCTTCCCTTTTAGTGGGGAAGACTGACAATAACCCAGTGATAACAAAGCAGGTAAATATTACAGTTTCAGGTAGTTACCGATGTCATGATGAAACTAATACAAGAGAGTATCGTGAAAGACCCCAGCAGGGGGGCCAGGGAAGCTTGTCTGAGGAGGTGACACAAGCAAAGATTGGGTTCTGTTTTTTGTTGTTTTTGTTTTTTTGAGATAGGGTCTCCCTATGCAGTCCAGGCTGGCTTTGAACTTGTGGCAATCCTCCTGTCTCAGCCTCCCAAGTGCTGGGATTACAGGGATGATGTACCACAGCCAGCTAAAGACTAGATTCTAAAAAGGAGCCAGTCCCATCCTCAAAGCTGGAGGAAGTGTTCCCGGGGGAGGGGCAGGGGAAGGAGAGAGGGAAGGGGACGTGAAGGGATAAAGATGTGTTATGTACACGTACGAACTCCCCAAGATGACTGCAGCCATGCACTGCAAACATGTACCAATGCAAAAACATTTTTTGGTTGTTTTTTTTTTGTACCAGGAATTCAGCTCAGGACCTTGACTTACCAGGCAGGCACTGTGTCGCTGTGTTGTAACCCTGGTCCTAAAAACATTTTTTTAAAGGCAAAAAAAGGTTTTGAGGCAGAAAAGAACAGCCTGAGGAAAGAAGAGAAATCCAGCATGACTCAAATCTTCCTTTTGAAAGAGGCGTGGGACACAGGTCAGGGACAGGCAATCGTCTAATCTGGTGGAGCCCTTGTACACTAGGGAAAGAGTTTAGATTCTGTTTCACAAGGAGAGGAGTGGAGTCACACTGGGAGGTCTCTACTCTGGAGCCTTACATCCCACTGGCACCTGTCCCAGTGCTGCCTTGGGAGAGGCAGATGGTCTGGGGAAGCACGGGGCCTGGAGCCACTGAGGGCGCGGCAGGAGGCTGTCGCTGTAGTCCATCTCCACACATCCACCCGGGAAGGATGTGCAGGCGGTGGGTGCCATGTTTTAAAATTAAAGGCCATAACTGCAAGTTAGTGATGGACTGAATGTGGAAAAGGGCAATTAAAAGATCAAAGATGACTTCTAGTTTCGGGCAGGAAACTTCCCTTTCTGAACCATTCCTGAAAACGTACAAATGTTCCCTAATTTTAATCATGAAACGTCAAAGCCTAGGATCTACTCTGTGTCACTGAAAAATTCATCCAAGGGGTTGTTCCTACTCACTGTCCACACACCCCACATTTCCCCGGACCGCTGCTGCACTGGGACATCCTTTCCACAGACACGCCTGATCTTCCCGCTGCCAAAGCAGCGGTCAATCCGGGGTCATTCCGCACGCTGCTTGCTTCCTGCCTCCCCTCTGAAATTTTCTAGCAAGTTATTTATGACATACAAAAAGGAAGACACCCTGCGGCAAAAGAACCGTATTACCATACTCTCAAACTGATGGGTGGGCTGCCTCCCATTTTTCACTTGGTACCTTCCCCAGAACAGTTTCCAAGAGCTGGTAAAATACATTTATAACAGAACAAGCCCAAATAAATAACGATACACCGCAAGGTCCTACAGAAACAAGAAGAATCCAAATCCAGAGCTAGTACAAGCAAGGAAATTATAAAGATGAGAGCAAGAATCAATGACATGGATAAAAAAAGAAACAAAACAAAACAAAACAATGAATCCAGGAGCTGATTCTTTAAAAGAATAAAAGACAAACCCTCAGCCAATCTTACAAAAAGAAAAGAAAGGAAAAGATACAAATCAATGAAACTAGAAATGAAAAAGGTAAAATCACAATGGACATTGCCAAAATCCACAATATTATTTTCAACTACTTCACAAACCTGCATGCCAATAAACTGGAAAAAGAACTTCAGGGAAGACCTAATGCCAGTACTACTGTTAAATGACCCTCAAAGGAAAGAAGTGCGCCTAAAGTCATTCCTGGAAGCTAGCATTACCCTGACTGAAAAAACAGGTAAGGAACTAACCAAAATAGAGAGGTATAGGCCAATTTCTATAAATGAATATAGATACAAAAATCCCCAATAAGATAGTGGCAAAAAGAATGCAACAATCAGGATTCATCCCAGGGATGCAAGGATGGTTTAATATAAGCAAATCAATAAATGTAATATATCATATAAACAGAAGCACAAACAAAACAAATCATACAATCATCTCAGTAGATGCAGAAAAAGCCTTTGACAAAATCCAACATTCATTCATGATAAAAACCCTAAAGAAAAGTGGTGTAGTATTGTGTCACTAGTGTAAAACTTGAAAGAGTTAATTTAAAC